AGTGGCTGGCAGACAACCAGTCATTGAAGCTTCAATGATAGACAACTATTTTTTTGGGATTTTTTTAAGTCCAGTAATACAATTAACAAGTTCTTTAATACAATTAACAAGTTTGTTATAGAATTTATCAATAGATTTTTCAATAAATTCAAAAATTAGCATTTTTACAACTTTATTAACATGGTTAACAAGTTCTTTAATACTATTAACAAGCTTAGTATAACAGTTAATAACAGTAGGGGTGGAAACAGGCCAGGCCAGGCCAGGCTTTGCTCTTAACAGGCCAGGCCTGTTTTGGAGCCTATTGGCCTGAGCCTGGCCTGTGGCCTGTTACAGGCTTACTTTTCAGCCTGAGTCTGGCCTGTATAAAGGCCTGGCCTGGCCTGAAGCCTGTTAAAAGGCCTGTATTTTTAAAAAATTCAAATTATAATAATTAATTTTTTAAAAAAAGCTAAGATAAAAAAAATACATAATAATTTAATTTTTAGTCTTGTCTTTTATTTAAATTTTAGTATCATAAGTACTATTTTAAATCTTAATTATAATTTATAAGAATATTATTGAAAACTAATTGTAATTATATGTTAAAATTTGGAATAAGACTACGTTTAAGTACACACAAAAAATTAAAATTAAGACAAATAAATAAAGAGGAAAAAATACTAATTTTATAATGAATAAAGAGGGTATCATACTTAAATTAACATAATACGTAAGTTAGTTAATTTATCATTATTGGAACAAAATTTTTCTTTCCTATTTTCTTTATATTTTTAAGATTTAAAAATCACATTATTTATTGATATTATTATTTTAAATTATATTTTTATCTTCACTTGTCATCTAAACTTCAAAATCTAAGAAAAGATTAAGCTATTAACTATATATTAAAATTAAAAAATAAATTAAAAGAGCACATTAACAATAATAGCATTAATTAATTTTTTCATATATTATGATTATAAATTCCTGACAGGCCCAGGCCGGCCTAACAGGCTTAACAGGTTTTTTAAAAAGCCTAAGCCTGGCCTGTTTAACTAAACAGGCCTTCAAACAGGCCTGAGCCTATCTTTTTTGGGAAACAGGCCAGGCCAGGCCATGCCAAATGCAGGCCAGGCTATAGGCCCTGACAGGCCGCCTGGCCTGTTTCCTCCCCTAAATAACAGGTTTTTCTGAAAATTCAAAAAGTGATATTTTTACAATTTGAGTAATGCAGTTAATAAGTTATGTAAAAATATCAACAACTCTCATGGTGCAATTAATAACTCTAATAACAAGTTATGCAATGATATTAACAACTTTCATAATCATAGAGATTGTCTAATAAATTAAAAAAATTTTGTTGTGCAATCTTTATAGGGAGCAAATACTAAAAGCATCAACCTTCATAGGAAATTTTGTTAACGGCGCTATAAGAGTTATTAATATCATTACCTGATTTATTAACCACATTACTAAAGTTGTAAAAATATCATTTTTTGAATTTTCTGAAAAACCTATTGTTAACTACTATATTAAACTTGTTAATTGCGTTAAAAAAAACTTATTAACTACGTTACTAAAGTTGTAAAAAATGTCAATTTTTGAATTTTTTAGAAAACTTGGTGTTAAATGCTATAATGAGCTTGTTAATCATATTAAAAACTTATTAATTGTATTACTAGACTTGAAAAAAAAAATCTCAAAGAAATAGTTGCCAACCATCGGAGCTCCAATAACTAGTTGTTGATGCGCGACCAGCGGCCCAACTGAACTCTAGCATTGATGAGGGTGCTTGATGGTTTTTTTTTCTTTTTAAGGCAAATTATCATGTGTGCTCAAATAGGGATTTTCATTATTGAAGTGACCAAATGGGGATTTTCAAGTTTAAGTGTCACTTTTGTGTTATTTTCCCTTCTTATAATTTAATAAAATGTCGTGATTGAGTAGTTCTTATATATTACAAAAAATTTTGAAGACTTTAATGAAATTTTGTCAAGATAATACGTTAAAGATTTTGACTTTTTGGGCATAGAATACATTTTTCTATATATTGCACCAAGTCTAATCAATAAGACACGTTATTATTGTTCATGCATATGATTTAATTTGTAAACATTACAGTTTATTATAATTTTTATTACATGTTAATAATAATTTTTTTAGAGCTAACAACTACTACATGTATATATTTCCCATGCATTGTGTAGAAAATAAAATATGAGGTGCATTATTTAAGGCTTATAAGTAATTCAACTTGTCACAGTTTTATACTTTTTCTTGTTCTAAATATAAGACCTATTTTATAATGTAAATTACATTATAAAATACTACCTCCGGTCCTAATTATAAGACCCAATTGACTAATTTGAGGAGATTAAGGAAGTAAGTTAAGTTAGTTATTTGTAATAAATAAGTGTTGTCATTCCTAAAATATCCTTGCTAATTAAGTATATTGGTTAGAGCTATCATTATTAAAAGGACTATCTTGGGAAAAAAAATGCATAAATATGAGAGACAAAATGAATTGGGGTCTTATAATTAGGACTAAACTAAAAGTCAAACGGGGTCTTATATTAAGGACCAGAGGTAGTAAATCTTTCACTTGTTCATTTAGGACCGGAAGACTATTTTATATTAATCTCTACAGTGTGAGTGCGTGTGAGAAAGAGAGAGTAAAAGAAAGGGTGTAGAGACATAGTCTTAATCACGTGGTTTGAATAGTTGACCAAAGAAAGTGTAAAACAAAACAAGAGACAAAGTTAGGCAATGAAAAATGGCAAAAAACTTCTTCTCCGCGTAATTAATATTAATGAAGAAGATTTATGATATCTACCTTGATTTGAAGTGTAATTATAATTATAATGTTAATTGCCTAATTAATTTTAGAGATATGGACATACATCTGAATTCTGAAGTATATGGAGCGATGAATAGTAACCTAGAAAATGAGGTGATGATTGAAGTTGTTGTCTAACACCATCATTTCCAAATGGCGAATTGGGTTGCTATATAAACAAGTTAGTTTAATATAATCTCTTATTTATATAATCAATTCATATATACATACATATACATATATATCAATTTTTTTATATAATTTTTAAAATTATAAAGATTCAATTTGAGTCTTTGAGTCGCTACTAATTAAATAGCCCTCTATCAATAAAAAGGATAACAAAATAAATTATCTGTAATGAGTCAACCATTTTTCAAATATTTAATGATCAAACAATTATCGGCTCTTATTGCACTGATGGAAGGAATATAAAATATATAGTAAGTTGTATAGGTAAAAAATCACACAAACTATTTTTGTTAATAAAAAATGAGTCATTCATTAAAAAAGTTCATAAAATTTTTTTTTTAGGATAGATAATTTTCATTTATATTCTTTTTTTGTTACAAAAAATTATAAGTGAGTTGAGTTCCGTGATCTCATCAGATCAGGGCATACTTTTTAGATAGCTTTTACAGAAATATTTATAAATCACCCACCAATAAGTTTCTCTACATATACTCAATCATATATATATATATGTGTGTGTGTGCATGTGTGTGTGTGTGTATATATATAATTCAAATAGAAGTGGAACAATTGAGACAGTTCTTTTTTTTTTTGGGGTGAGAATTGACAGATGTTTCGACTTGGCAGTCACATATGGGATATGGGCCTTTAAAAGATAGTGGGCCCAAGAAATGCTGATACTAGCTCAACCCAGATCAGCGCAAGCCTGGAGCCACCACCAATAATTGTCTGTTATGCATTTTCCAAGCAAAAACCTCAGAAAAAATCTTTAATAATATTACGAAATGAAAATTAGATGACAACCTAGCTAAGAGAGAGAACGGAAGATAAGAGGCTTCATTTTACAAGCAAAAAAAAATTGATATTTGATTTAGCTATGATTTGTCCGGAAAAGAAAACAATAGGCTTCATTTGGTTTTCATCCAAAATTTTTTTTATATCTAATATAAGTTAAAAAAACTGTTTTCATCTCTCTCGAAACAAGCATATATTAAATAAAAAATAAATAATTAAAAGTAAACAAATTGTGAGGTTTAAACTATTTAGATTTGTGTATCTTATGTGACTTGTCATTTTACAATTTGATCGTTTCAAACTAAGTGTGAAATAAAATTTGAAAGAATTTTTTTTTTTAAAAAAAAACCTTATGCTGTCCAAATCTCTGTGATTCATATGGTGGTGAAATATTGTCTTTATTCTTTCTTTTGATTTCTTCCAAAGAAACATGCAACAAACTAACGAATTAAAAATAAGAAATAATTTTTTTTCCTAGAAAACAAACTATTGGATTCCTTTTCAGTGACGAGTCCTATGATTAGGCGATAATAATAATTCAAAATCAAGCTGTGCCAAGCCCTAAGTAAAAAGAAAATTTTTCTGACATAATTTTTTTATAACTAGTTCCCAACCTGAATAAAAAGAACGATGATGTTGTACCTCTGACAGCTAGCATAGAACTCTATCAAGTCTTAATGACACACGAATCAACGAAGAAATTGTGCTAATTTTTTCTTTTCATCCACAGAGCTCCAATTCTAAAGCTATTCAAATCTAGCTGGAGCACAGTGTAGAACTTACAAGAAATATATAGACAACGGTTAGGACCATATAAGACCAAAGCAAAGTCACAAGCACAACAAACCATTTTGACTTTGCTTGAAATCATCAAATCAAATGAAAACTAATTCCTCAATTCCATCATTAACACATACACAAGAGACCAGAGTGCATTTGGTTAATTAAACCAAATCCTTTTAGCTTTTTTCTCCATCATTCATAATTCATTCTCTTGCTAGCCAGCTGCCTTCTCCCACACTTAACCAACTAACTCCACCACCCTCCCTATACCTACTGATAACTTACCTTTTCTTGTCTCTTCTCTCTCTTGTTGGGGCCTTCCACTTGAAGAAAAAGCTTTATAAGATGGACGCAATGATTTTAAGTTGAATCGAATTCCCATAAAGCCATAACTAAAGTAGGTCACATCCTTAGCTAGCTGCTAGGTTGTTAAGGCCCAGCTACCCTCCTCTCTCTCTTCTTTCTCTTTCTTTCTTCTTCATAACTTTCTTATATTACAGATTCAATCTTCTGTACATAGAGGAAGAGGAAAAGAAGCAGAAGAAGAAGAAGAATGAGTACAGCGAGATTTATCAAGTGTGTGACGGTTGGAGATGGTGCTGTAGGGAAGACATGCATGCTTATATCCTACACCAGCAATACATTTCCCACTGTATGTTTATTTCTTCTATATACACACACACACATAGTCTCTTTTGTTGAAGGAGTGAGCAGTGAAGATTCAAACTGATCCATCAATACTGTTTTCTGATATATAGGATTATGTTCCAACAGTTTTTGACAATTTCAGTGCAAATGTAGTGGTTGATGGCAGCACTGTGAATCTTGGTCTATGGGACACCGCAGGTTGTTTCATCTAACTTTGATCTAACTTTCCAAATGTCATTTTGTTCTAAACTATATATGAAACATCCATTCTTCACCAAAAGTATCCAAAATTCTTCCTTTTAATATGATGATAGAGTATCTGGTACATATGAGCATTCATTTTATATTGAGTTCAAATAAATCCTCTCAAATGTAACTTAGCTTAAGTGAGGAGAGAGGAAAATGTAACTCCCTCCTCAAACATGCTACCTTGTGGAACATGTGTTTGAGTTTTCTATTGTATGATCCTGTAATAGAAAGATAAACACAGAGTGAGTGGGTGGGCCCCACTTTTGTTTTTATCCCCCTTTCTTTCACTCTTATATATATCACTTTACTAGTTGAAATCATTTTAGAAAGAGCCTATTTTGAAATATAACACAGGTTAATTTGTTTATGTTTGGAGAACTTCATTATTGAATGCTAGATTTTGAAGTATACCCATTTTTCAGATCAAACACTTTGAACTACAGATTAGCATAATTATGGGTCATGATGCTATTTGTATTACAGGACAGGAAGATTACAACAGGCTGAGGCCTTTGAGTTACAGAGGAGCTGATGTGTTTCTTCTGTGCTTTTCTCTGATCAGCAAAGCCAGTTATGAGAATATTTCTAAGAAGGTTAATTATCTCCACTCTGCCTAAATTTTTTTCTTTTTTCCTTTTAATTTTTAATGTAAACATGTTTTCTGCATTATTATCTGAAACATTTTCAAGTCTTTTTTATTTACTTGTATACAGTGGATTCCTGAGCTGAGACATTATTCTCCAAATGTGCCGATTGTGCTTGTGGGAACAAAACTAGGTAATCGAACACAAAAACTGTACCAATCGTATTATTATTAAGTAGTGCGACTCATTTCTCAGATTTTGTGTGATACGTAGTATATTAATTTATTTAGTTCAAATATCTTCTGCATTATTCATGACTTTCACTGGTAGTTAAGTATTATCAAATTAAAGGACTTGAAAGCTAATAGTGGTTTTCTGGTGAATTATTACTCAGATCTGAGAGATGACAAACAATTTTTGATGGATCATCCTGGAGCCACACCAATCACAACTTCTCAGGCATGTTCTTCAAGAGTTCATTAAGAAAATGCCTTCATTATATAGAATATATATATATAATTGAGCTTTTTTTTAAAAAATTTTGTTTGGCTTTTAAGTAATTAACAAGAATGTAATGAACAGGGGGAAGAACTGAAGAAAATGATTGGTGCTGTCACTTACATAGAGTGCAGCTCTAAAACTCAGCAGGTAAATCAATCTTTGGTCTTTTCTAAAGTGTGTTAATATTTGCTATTTTTATCGCTTCTTTTATTACTAGCCACCATTAATAGCTAGAGAGATGAAGATGAAGATGAAGAAATGTTATGCGTTGTTCAAGAGAAAAATAGAAAAATTTTTTTTATATTTTTACCATTCCTGAATTAAAAATAGCAATATAAGTCTTTTTTTTTTATCTCACCTACTTTTTCGTTCCCCTCAAATTTTATTCCATTTTTAACTTACTAACTCTCATTTGGTTATAACGTTTATTTTGTCTAATATTAGTTATATCATTAATTACAATTAGTGTTTGATGCGTAACAATGTTTATTTTATTGTTTTTAATAATGACAGAGATTTGTATTTACTTTTAAATTTATTGTGAAAATGTTCATTTAGGAGCGCCAAACACATGAAAAATTTTTAAAATGTGAATTACGCCTATTGTTAGAAAACTAACATTGATATTAAAATAATGACATTGACCACTAATATTTTTAATATTAAAGAATAATGTTATTACGATTTTAAATTTTTCAAGAAAATTTACACCTAAAAAAAACTTTTGGTGTCCAGTGCTCCTGAATAAAAAATTTTGGGTTGAGATAAATTTGCACATTCACCCTGTGTCTGTTATTTTATAAGGCATAATCTTTCTTATTGACTGTATTTTGGCTTCCTTGTGGTTTCAGAACGTGAAGACAGTGTTTGATGCGGCAATAAAAGTTGCATTGAGGCCACCAAAGCCAAAGAAGAAAGCACGCAAGAGAAGGACCTGTTCTTTCCTCTGAGCTTTACAGATCCTCTTTCTTTTTTCCTTTTTTTTTTTTCTCGTTCACTAAGTCATAAAATGTAGGAGAATTAAAATTTTATTCTTTAATATTCATATTGTTAATTTTAATATATATATGTGTGCCAACTAAAGCTCTTAATAATATTCATGAAGGATATATACACACACACATATATATTAGGTTCCTCATTGTGTAAAATTAGAATATGTTATATTGTAAAATCACTATTTTTGTATTGGCTTTTGTAAATTTTTATCGTGTTCTTTCTCTTTATTAGTATTTTTTCCTGAACCTTTTCTTTTCAAATTATCCTGGAAAATTTTTCTAGTTCCTCAGGAAATGTAAAGAAAAGAGTGAAATGTTATTTTTAATAATTGTATAATATTTAGTATCACTGATTGAGAAAATGACGATAAAATACTTATTAAATTTTAAAACGACAAATAGATTGTGCTAATTATTCTTGTAAAGCTTTTGACATGCTAAGATCACCTACTTGTTATTTTAAATTTTAATAGGTGTTTTTTTGTCACTTTTTGTTGTTGATTTCAAATGCAAAATAGTTTTTATTTTTGTCAGAATGCTAAATACTAATTTTGGTTCTTAATATAAGACCAAATTAACTAATTTGAGAAAATTAAAAAAGTTAAAAAAATTATTTAATTATAAGATATGTTACATGATCTTTCTGAAATAATTATATGTATTATTAGATTACATATCAGTTTATAAACTAGACAAATTAACTTAAAAAATGATAAATATAATATTGTAAATTAATTAATTAATTTTATTTTATTTACTTTTTTTTAATAGTTCCTTTAAAAATCATATAAATCAATTCAAAACTGCTTCTCTAAATAATTCTATAAGTTAATTCCTTTGGTCTTAAATATAAGAACCAACTGGGATATTTCTTTTGATTTTAGATATAAAATTTCAATTTAGTTGGCTTCCAAGTTTATAATTTTTTTCACGTTATTCCTGATAATTGTGAAGTGTTTTGTGGCTTGGTTGAATTTGGTTTAGAAGTTGGCACTAAAGGGCAGGGTGAGATAAGACTTGTGAGACCTCTTATTTTATTCTGCCTCTCTAAATTAGTACAACTCATTCCTATGAAATATATTCATAATTCAAATTTAACATAAAAAAATAAAAATTTAAACAGTATAATTTATCTCTCATATTCAGTATGATGCATGAAAATGTATTTTTATTTTATTTTATTAGAAGACAATTCATTAACACAAGGTAAAATGATTCATATAAATTAAGCTTTTTTTTATGTATAAATATTCTCCTATTGGATATAATTTTATTTGAGTTACTATCAAGTACTAAATATAGATACCTCTCTCAATTAGAATTTGAATATTAGTTTGTTGTATTATAAGATATTAGTCTCTTCCATCAAACTTAACTTTCATTGGTTAAATTAAGCTTCTATACATGTGACGATAAACTTAACATTATGAGGCCCAAACCTCCAAATCCGCTCGGCAAAATAAATACACACACACAAACACTAAAACCTATGAAAACATAAAACAGCCACCACACAATCCACAACTAACGGGACATATGAATCAATCCGGCTGTATCTAATAGAAGAAACTAATTTTTTACAACATAACGAATTAATATTCGAATCCTTACTTAAAAGGTACCTACATTTAATGCTGACAATATCTCAAATAAAATTATTTCTAATAGAAGAATAATTATACGTAAAAAAAGAAATGAGACATATGAAAATATGTGTTTAATTATTCTTATTTTAAGGAAAGATTAAATTGTGGGTTTGTTGGGTTAACGATGATGATTGATTTGGCACACCAAACGGGTCATTTTAGTTGGTGGACCTTCATCAATAATAACAACCTTTTACTTCATAGTGTTGGTTTGATTGTATAATCTCTTTGTTTCCAATTTATGTCGCTTTTGAAAGCACCACTCTCACCTAATTTTGAAGTAAAAGTCATTGGCAGTTATTTGTGTTGCTCACCCATTCTGTCAAACAGTAGATTAAACCAAATTAACTCTAACTTCTCTATGGTTATTTTCTCATACACTTCACATTTCAAATATTAGATTAAATTTGAATAGTTCATTTTTTTGGGTAATTGAATGGTTCATATTTAGTACTCTATTTTAGAAAGTTATCTAAGGAAGTTGTTTTTGTTTGAAACTTGGTAATACTCGAATATCAGATATTTTATCAAAAAAAATTATAATAAATAAATAAATAAATAAAAACTGCTAAAATTGATATTAATAGTTCAAAATTGTGCTGAAAAATCTTTTTAAAAATATTTTGTAAAGTTTTTGCCAACATTAAAGTTAAAATAGATGAGAAAGGAAGTAAAGAGAAGCTGAGCCTATATAAGCTCGCTATGATACTATTGTTTTTTTTTTTTTTTTGGGTTATCGAAAGTATCCTCCCACTCAAATAATAGAAGACTAATTTCTCATAGTACTGTTAGACACCGTAGTGGAGACTCCTCCCAACAATGTTTTTTTCAATACATACCACCCTAAGGATTGAATCAAGGACATGATGTTTAAGATACCCAAATCCCTTCTACTTGGACCAATACTTGTTGGTCTATGATACTATTGTTAGTTGTTGTGATGTGGAATTTTAAGATATTAGATTTATGGGTCTTAATCAGTTGGATATACCTTTGGTGGTCCAATAATACCTATTGCCTAACATCAAACTTTTTTCGGGTAGAAACCAGACGGTATTTCCCAGCCATATATCAACGGAGAAGAGCTTTATTGGTTGCCTGATGTCAAACTGGTATATTAATACTTGCATATATCTTCGGAGCAACATGATGTTTTGATGGGCCTATAAGCAACATGTTGGACATATGGGCCTATCGAATATAGGGCGTGCAAAGCATTCTAAAAGCGGGAACTTTCTACCAGGCCTAAGGCCTCCATGACAATGGGCTTTATTCGCCGTTATCCAATGAAAGGAGAATGGCCCAATTTGATCAAAATCTCTCGTGCTCAAATATAAATGAATCAATAACCAACAAGAGTTAGTTCAGTTTGTAAAGAGTCGACTCATAATCTGTAAGGTAGTGAGTACAAATCTCACTACTGATTTGAGGACCTTATTGGTGAGCAATTTATAAGTACCTCTGTGAGCACTCTCTCAATCTGGAGGCATGCCCTGATTCTAGAGAAATTTAGTCTCATTTTAATTTTAATCCCTAAAATTTTAAACCAATTGTTTTGATCCCTCAGGAACAAAAAAGTTTAGACAAACCAAAATGAAATCAAATTTCATGAAACAAAATTAAAATAAAATCAAATTTCAAAGACAGAATCACTTGTTTCAATTTTTTTAAAAATTCTAAATGTAAAAACCTAATCCACTTGATATCCCAAATCTATAATTTTTTCTGCACTATACCAAGAAAGCATAGCTCTATTAAAATAAGATTATGCTAAACACGTGCTAGGTCAAGAGGATTGTTTGCTTCTTAATTATGAAGTTTGCAATCCATGTATAAATATATTCAAAAGTTTAAATGTATATACAAAATGAAATACAAATATTGATTTCTTATAAACCATTTTTTTGCCAACTGTTCTAAACCAATTAATGGATTATTAGAAAGGAAAATTGGTGAAAAGGTATATGTTGTGTAACTCTTTTTCTAACTGTATGTAATATATCTTTAGTTATGTGTAAATTATCTTCATTTTCAAGAATTTTTACATGTCATTAAAGATAAGTTACATACAATTAAAACAAACACATTCATTAAATAAGAGTTACACTGGATTCTTTTTTTTTTTTTTACGAATAAACTTTTCAAACTTACCTATTTTCCCTAATTAAAATCCATAGAAACCAATAGAGTGAAGAACAAAACAAAAATATGATATATAGAATGGTAAATGTGTAAATTTATTTTAAAAGTTTTCATTTAAGCGTATTGGGGGACCTGAAAATTTCTTTAAGTGTAAATTTGTTTCCAAAATTTAAAATCAAAATAATGTTACATATTACTACCTCCGGTCCTAATTATAAGATCCCGTTTGACTTTTTGTTTGGTCCTAATTATAAGACCCCAATCTATTTTATCTCTCATATTTATACATTTTTTTCCAAGATAATCCTTCTAATAATGATAGTTCTAGCCAATATACTTAATTAGCAAGGATATTTTAGGAATGACAACACTTATTTATTACAAATAACTAACTTAACTTACTTCCTTAATCTCTTCAAATAAGTCAACTGGGTCTTATAATTAGGATCGAAAGTAGTATTATTTTCATCATTAACGTTATTAACAATAAGATATAATATTATTATAATTTTAAACTTTTACAACAAATTGTTTTTAAGAACACTCTAACCCTATATATGTATATACCCTCTGTCTATATATCGAAGGAAAACAAAATATAATGCAGATGGAGACAAGAAGTCAAGAACAGTCGCATCAATCAAAAGACTGTAGAATCACCTAATACCTTGTTGATGTGGGAATATACAATCAGGCTCTTTCGCAGTACCATTCTCCAGTATACTCAATTATGGCACCTTCCATACCCCACATCACGTCCTCATAATTAAATCAGATTTGATGTATGAAACAAACCAATAATAATAATAATAAATTAATATATTTCTATCTTGTCAAATTTAAACTCGTGGGGGTAATGATTATTATACGTTCTGTGTCTTGATAATACGTTGATATGCCATACGTGATGGTTCATGCAGAATATTAAAACGTACCTTTGGGTAAAGACAGTGTGCATGCTACAGAGTTTTAAGTGGAGAAATGACACAAATCAATCAAACAGATGTAATCAAAGAAGCTTAATTCTTACTTATGGTGCTGATTAATTGGGTCAAGAATTATCGAGTATAAGAGATTTAATATCACTTATTATTTCTTTTAAATACTATACCGAGTACAATTAGTTTACAACTTTTTTTCTTCTTAAAAAAAAAAAACTTACGACTCTTTGAAGATATTTATCTTTGACTATTTTTAGATTAACTGTATTCAGTATCATATGGCCGTGCTTCAATTTTAACCTTATTATAACAATTACTTTGAGTTATGAAGTAGAATCTGCAAAAATTATCGACACATACGCTTTTTAATCAATTTAGACATCTAGAATTAATGTAACTAGTGGCTTTTTGAAACATGTACTGGTTGAATAAAAGTGATTAAACAATTAATTATGCATAATTATAATTAGATCTTTTAATCCATATTAATGTTGGTTAGAGGATTATTCTACATTATTATATATTTTCTGATGGAAGAATGAACAGTCCAGACGGGAGGGTCAAATCAAGAACTGTTGTGATGAGATCACACGTTAACCAATCTGTGCAAAGAACTGTGTGACTGAGAAAGTGATAATTAACAACTCTTCCATTTTCTTCTCTGTTCCATTTCATGTCTTTGTTATCAAGTTTCCAAAATGGTACTTTGCAACAAAACAAAAACATTTGTACCCTTCCGTTTCTGGTCACATTTTTTCCGATTCCTCCCGAACAATAAATTCAGATTCACACAGTAAATCTTATCTCGGATTATCATCTTGTTTTAGTTCTGATTCTTGAAAATTTGCTTTATCTTAGTTTACTTAAAGACTTTTGGTTCTTTTTGTTTTGATTCTTGAAAGTTTACTTAAAGACTTCTTTTTTCTTGAAACAGGGTTTTTATAACTAAAACTACTAGTTTCAAATGTCATGAATCAAAATCAAAATTAAAATAAGATCAAATTTCAGAAGTTAAATACTACCTCCAGTTCTAATTATAAAATATCATTTGTATACTATGAATGGGGTTTTATAATTAGGATAAGTGGCAGTATAATGTTAATCTTTTGGTCTACTATTAAAAATTGTTCAAATCATTAAAAACAAAAAGAAAAGGAAGTTGTGAACTCTTCATGTCGAATTGTTTTTATCTTATTACTTGTATATCCACTTTTGAATGACCTAACAGTCATATATGTTCGGACATCTTTTCTTCTTGCCTTATTTTCTTCATTCAAGTACACTGTTTGATGGAGAAGAAAGACTTGCGAGGGAATAAAATGAAAAACTTTCACTTAAATTTACATGTGACATGACATAGACAAGAATGAGATCAGTTTTTGTGTTTTCCCTCATGTTTAATATATTGTTAGAATGAAAAGTTGAAAACAACACGAGAAAAGAGGGGGAAACAAATATATCATTAAATTTTGTTAAATGGAAATATTATTGAATGGAAGTCCACATCCATAGAAAAATAAAAGGGTATATATAAGTTTGTTAAAATCCTAGTCATAAAGTAGCTAGCTTAGATTATTTTGGTGGCATAGACAAATCTAAATCCAGGCTGCTACTTTAATCGGAATTTTCTTTTCTTTGTCTCTGTCATTACTATTATATTAATTATTATATATAGTCACTTTTTTGCATTTATAGAAAATCTGAAACGTTAAATTGCATGCATTTACATTAACCTGGTCATAATTTCTCCAAAGTTCAGCTGACATAGAAGCATTCTGTTTGTGCGGTGTGTGAGAGAGGGGAGAAGCATCTGGAAATAATGCAAAGTTGAAAGAGAAACAGAGGCCGTGCTCCGATCCGAAAGTTGTGGCAGAAAATGGGGAGTTCAGAACTCTCTCACTCCTGTAGCTCTGACCCTACGAAATAAGAGATAAAAACTGGGATTTTAATTAAAAAAATTATTAAAAAATATTTAACATGAGTAATTATCTGTTGCATAGGATTAGGTAAACCCATTGCAGTGAGATTGACCTATAGTATTCTTCAGTTCCACATATATATGTTTGTTTAATCCTATATAACAAGCAATTTTTCATACTAAACATTTTTTTAATAGATTTTCTTAATTGCAGTCACAGTTTATTTTTCATTTTCAATATTTCGTACCAAACAAAATCTAAATATAAATCTAATTTATAGTAAACTCTTTTTTTGGAAGCCTGGTTTTAAATATAAAATTTAATTTGCAATGCAAATTACGCTGCAAATCAGATTTTATATTTAGGATATCAAAGGTAGCATTTCATAATATATAAGCAATATTATAAGAAAAAGACAAAAAAAAAGGATTTCTAATGAAAAAACACTGGTATACCTATAAATTAATAGTGATACGAACATACAAGTTTAAAGGGGAGACTGATCTCAAAAGTACCGATTAGATGAATAAACCCATTAAACTTGTAAGTCATACGGATAAACCTAATAGGTACTTCAATTAGGAGACTCGTATAATAATAAATCTCATACAGCATCACTTTTGTGTTTACTCTTTGGCCCTGCAGCAGCAGGGTTGCTAAAAATGCGAGTATTTAATTTAAATTATGCATGGTTTCATATTAAATATTACTAAAACAAAAATATTAAACCAAGTAGTCTTACTTTAGAACAAATATTACAATTTATTTATGAAATTGAACTATTAGAGAGAGTACTACACGTTATGAATTGATCTCATCACATCATCAACAGAAAAACACATCCCATACACACACACACACAAAAATATGAAGTCTGCATATAATTACTTTAGAACTTAGAAGAAAGTAAATTCAGTTACATATTAAGGTCCATCGATACTAAATCAAACCCTCGTACTCTAATCACCACACTATAATTATATGATTCGAACACAAAGATCTCCAGAGAGGTACGTAGAGATCTCCATATGTATCCAAACCCCATCACCTTCAACTGTCTCCTTTTCTATATCTGCACATTCATTAGATTCAATAAAATATAATAAATCACCATAACTTGTGGATAGATGTGAAAATTTTAGTTATTATAAAAAAATTCATAGTTTATGACAAAGACAATATCATGTTTTGAATTAGATCTTTACAATCATGCAGTTTAGACGGAATAAATACAAATTTTTTATTATGAAATTATTTTTTTTCCTGTTTATATTCATATTAGACTTTATTTCTCTGTGACTAAGCTATATATAAATATGTAATCACTCATATAGTATGTTTTTTATTACTGTGGAAGACCTATAATCTGTTCCAAATTTTTCCAAAAGGCATGAAAATAAAAATGTTTTTCCTTAGTTTTAAGACATATAAAATAAGATATTTTTTTATTTTTTTGAGAAAATGAACATATAAAATAAGATATTAATTTTTTTGAGAAAATGAAACATAGTTAAAAAAAGGATAAAAGATAAGAAAAAGAAAAAAAAAATTTGTATATGAGAAATTAGAGGGTCTTAACGTGCGCACCAGATAATAAAATGCGCCGTGCTGGAGTGACTGGAGCGTGACGCCCCACTCATTGGTTGGGACAGGGTGTCCTGTTGCCGCGTGGATCAGAACCGCGTCTTCACCAAAAGCCGCTCGTACGTTGAAGGGACCAATAGCCACCTCGAATGCGACGTCGTTTATGTATACAATAGATTTCGCAGCCGTACCACCTGCCAGCTCCCCTGCACCTCACACACACCCAATTATCCCCTCTAGTCAAAATACCCTAAGCCCCAAGTTGAGATTGAGACAGAGAAGCCATGCACACGTCTTTCCATCAACACAATCAAATCTTAAGCAGCACGATCCTCAAATTACCATTTTACCCCCGACCTTTCTCCTTAATTATCAAGGATATCCCTCCAGTTTATTTTCTTGCTCATTTCCTAATTTCTTTGAAGCAGGGAAAATTACAAGTTTTATGTACAACTCGCCCAAAAAAGGGTCCAAGATTAATGTTTGATTTCATCATAATACATGACAAAATTCATCAAAATCAAAAGCGGCAAGCCCCTTTGATCTGTTAATTAAAAAGTACTATACTATGTCATTGGTACAGAGAGAAATAACAATCATAATATAAGTGTGCATGTGTGTACTACGACATGTAAAATCTCATGTTCATTGGTTTGTTTACCGAAAGTATTTATTCTGTTGTAGGATTTTATGAATGACACATGCATCATTGTATCTTCTTGAAAGGTATTTGTCTTGTGATATAGATATATAGTCACGTGGTATGCTATAATAATGCCAAGAAAATGAATGTATTTCTCACAACACGATCTTGTGTGGGTAGGACCACTGTAGAGAAGCATGCACAAGCAAGCTCGAAAGTAAATAAAATAAAAGAAACCAAAATTATTAATTTTACCGTGAATTTGAGGGATGAGGGATGGAACAGTAACAGTAGTGGTGGTTGCAGAAGCCATAGAAGGCACAACAGTACTGTGAATGGTGGAAGTGACAGAAGACGAAGACTTATGATGATCTTGTTCTTTCTTCTGATTCGTCATCTCACTGAGCAAGAGACTAGTGCAAGGCCCAACGTTTTGATTTTGAACAAGACCAGACAGCTCAGAGAAGCAAAACCCTTGATGAGTTGATGTAGCAGCAGAAGAATTTGAAGAAGCAGGGAAGAAGAAAGGCTCAGAAAGAGACGTCTCAGTATTACTATTATGGGTCTGAAAATATGAGATCGGGTGGTGGTTATTATTGGTCACAGGACCAGCGGAAGTGGGAGAAGAACTTGGGAGGATCATATCAGAAGAGAAGCCAATGGAGAATGATGACTTGAAAGGAGGAACAACACTGATTATTTCCTTGGAGGATGAAGATGGAGAAGACCTGTTATCAGATGAAGAATTAGAAGGTGAAATATGAGGAATGATGAGAGAAGGAGGAGGAGGAAGTGGTGAGGTTGATTCGTGTGTGATATGGTTATTATTGTTGTTGTTGGTGGTTTTGTTAGAGTTTTGGAGGTTTCGAAGCTTGTGTTTGCTTCTGGACTTGCGATTCTGAAACCAGTAGAAGACATTGGCGTCACCAACTTGACCATACTCTTGAAGCTGAGCTCTGATCTTTCGGATCTCATCTCTTGGTGGATTCACCATCCCTGAGTTGAAGATCGCTTCCAGAATCCTAATCTGTTCTGGTTTTGGGTTCCACCTCGGCTTTGGCTCTGGACTCCTCTCCTCACAACCTACAAAACCCATTCAATATAACATGAAACTTCAAAACACCAAATAATCTCTATCTCTAGGACACTATTTCTACAGAAACTGCCTCAAATTTAGATCATTCAAAAAGCTTGATTGCTTTGTTGTTGGGACAGAGAGGCGAAAAGGGCTTTTGAAGAAGATAGGTTTTTGACCGAATATTATTATACGAACCTGAAGAAGAGGAAGAAGAAGGAGCGTAAGGGGTTCGGTGGCAGGAGGATGAAGAGATGAGAGAGGAGGAGTTCATGTCGTGCTGCTGCCATGGATGGTGGGGATTGCAAGGCTTGGACTTGAACATGCTAGGCCAGTGTCTGTTAGAGGAAGCCATGATGATGAAGACGACGAAAGACGACGGATCAATACAAGAATGATGCTTAATAATGATGAGAAGTTTGAATATAAGGGTTTTTAGATAAAGGAATCAAATCAACTGAGAGGCTAGATATCAAAGCAGCCAACCATAAGAGAACAACGTAACATATACACATACCAACTAGACCTTTATATATATAGTGCTATCCGTGTGTATGTGTGTGTGTATAGCTTTTTAATTAGCTTTTTGGTCTGAGAAATCTGAATAACCCACTAACCAGCACCATCTCTTGTACCCTCTCTTCACCTACTCTCTCTCCGATGAGACCCTGTGTCCATTCTATAATATTGCAAATTATAATAATGAGAGGTATTAATTAAATTCACAACAGGAATCGCCTGTGAGATATATGAAAGATTAAAAAAGGAAAGGAAAGGAAAAAATATATATAAAGTAACAGTAGTAATATTATCGTACTAACTTACCATGTCTCCCATCCCCTGCATTACTTTTGCATTAATAGTGATCGAGTTCTTTTCTTTTTTTTTTTTGGTTTTAAGGGTTTAAAGAAGAAGGAAAGTACCCCCGGATGTGAAGCAAAGAGAACATGGAAAGGAATACATGCTTGGGACTTAATTAGGAATCTTGGCTCAGAGATGACAGATAAAGCTGTTAATGCTTTGAATACTAGGTCTTTGAGTTTCCGGTCAGTTTCTCTCTCTCTTATAAGTTATATATATATATATATATATATATATTATATATATATATATATATATGATCTCCAGAAATTTCTTTCTCTAGAGAAGAAATGAAGGAGCAGATTTCAGGATTCTAATACATACTACTATATGATCATCACTTGGGTTTGCTAGCACTGTATTAATGGGATTATTTTTCTAATGGAAGAGGTTGTTGCAGGAGTAAATGAAGGGGTTTGAAAGTCAAGAATGATAGGGTTTTGTGATTGGAAGGAGGTGGTGGGTTAGTAATTGCAACTTTTTTTATTATTTTATTTTCTTATTAATTTTGGATTTTTTATAATAAAACTTTCTTGGATTGACTCGAGGGAACTTTATTTATTGTGATACACTAAGTCTTGATGTGCAATTTAGTTCACAAATTCAAATTCATTCATTTCGCACCTCAAAAGCTTCAAAACCCCAATAATAATCCTTGGTTTGAGTTGCCAAATGCATGTGTAAATCGAAAATTAGTTGGAATAGTATTAATTGCGCGTTGATATTAACGAAAGAAAATTGGAAAAAAATATTGGTCTAATTAATTTGTTTGAGTTAGTTTGTGTTTTGAATATCTCTTTAAAGTTTCGCGAATAAAGAGAATATATATTGATGACAAAAAATTTCACCTCTGGGCATGTGGAGTACCATATTTTTAGATTTCTAACCCTAATTAATACCGTTACTATTAAATAATAATTTTTTGTGCTAATCACTATTATTTTAAAAAATTAAACTGAACATGTCAATATTTACGAATGTTTTGATAATATTTAAATTAATATTGTTAATTGGGATTAGAAGACTAAAAAAACACTGTAAAACAATCAAAATAAAATCTTTTCCTTTTTGCCAACATAAAAATAAAATCTTATGTAAAGCTAAATCACCAATTTACATATATTGATTGCATAAAACTTAGTCGTAATTAAAAGGTTCATTTCATGGGGTTTGTCTATTGAGATTTATAAACTTTTCAAAAAGGGAAGAAAAAGGCACACACATATGATTAGTTCTGAGCTTATGGACAAATGTAATATGACAAAAATGCTCGAGACAAAATTTCATGATTTCACATTATTGTTTTGATGTTACCTATCCGGGAAATTCAAATAAAAAAAATTAATTTGCCAAAACAAATTTCCAAAAATCAGTACGTACGTTAATTAGACACTAAAAAAGATAATAAAAATGCCCCAAAAATAAATTAGACACTGGTGTTCATGTTCTGGCAAAAAAAATGGGGCCAAAAAAAAAAAGATGCTGATGTTCATGAAGCAACGCAATAAAGCTGCATTTTATTATCTCTCGTCCTCAATATAAAAGCTCATTTCATTTTTATTTTATTTTTAAATATAAGACTTCAATCTACTTTATTTCTCATATTTATTTATTTTTTCTTAAGGTAGTTTCTTGTAATAATAGTAGTTCTGGCTAATACAATTGATTAGCAATGATATTTTAAGAAAGACAACACCTATTTATTATAAATAACTAACTTAACTAGTTTTCTTAATCTACTCAATTATAAATAACTAACTTGCTAGTTTTCTTAATCTACTCCAATTAGTAAACTAACTCTTATATTAAGGACAGGAGGTAGAATCAAATTACTCTACGTATGAAATTTTTTTGCATTATTTTAGTTTTGATTAAAATTTAATTCTCTAAAGCATTGCAAATTTTCAGTGGCCGTTGTGATCGGTGAATTAAAACAAAAGTCTAATTTAATATGAAGCTCGCTGACATGTCACATGAATAGCTATACTTAATACCCTATTTTCTATTTTCTATTTTACAAGCACCATATTTAATGCACATTGATTACTATGTCAATAAAAATTTTAAGAGTATAATTTAGTCAACTATGTCAACCAAAAATAAAAATATTAATTATAATTAATTTTCTCATTATTCAAAAATTAGCCCGGGTTAATTACATTTATACTTTTTTTTATACACTAATTGCATTTATACTAACCCACCAAAATTTTGAGATCCGAAAGGACAGAATTTGAATTATAGTTAAAAGTCACTGTAATCGAACTATTTAAGAGCTCAAATTAGTGAAATTACTATTATCGTACCTTTAAGATAATTATCATTATTTTTAGTGAAATTGAAAATTTTAAGAAAATTTTAAAAGATAAAAAAAAATCCAAGGGTGGATTTCTTGAAATTTTTGTAAGGAATCCTTTGAAATCTAATGAATTTGGACGTAATTTTATAATTGGAGTATTGAAGATGAAATACGAATAATGATTCAGCTGTCATTCTTTCAGAATGACCACACACTGTATGCATGTAAGATGCTAAGGGCAGGTAGGTTGAGACCTTGATGCCAAAGGCGCCTAAGGAATAGACATCTCTCAAAATGAGTACTTTCAATTTTTAATTATAATTATAAAATTTCAGAAAAATTAATCTACATGTTTCGTTTTTCACTAAAAAAAAAACACTTTATAAATACCTAACCCAAAATTAAGTTAAATGTTGAAAATTTGATTTGAAATAACTATAAAGACTTAATTAAATCAAGTAAAAATTATAAGAATTTAATAAAAAAATTATAAGAAGTTAATAAAAAATTATAAGAATTTGATTAAAAATTAAGTGAATCTGCATATAAATTTTTCCTAAAATCAAGTAAAATTATATGATTCTACGTCTTAAAATCTCATTTCAATTCTGGGCTCCGGGGACTTGGAATTGGAGATATCCTTATAGAATAATGCCTCCAATTTACAACAGCATGCCTCTATATCCCCAGTAATATCAAAGTTTCTTTCTTTTTTCCCCATATTTCTATCATCTGAATTTGAATTTTAAAACCTTTGTGCATGGGGTGTTTGATAATGCTCAAAAATACTTCTAAGAATCACTTGTTCATAAAATAAGATAAATTTCTCTATATATTTACTTCGTAAATCGTAAAAACACTTTTAAAACTATGATTTGATTTACATTCAAACACCCTTGATGTCTCGCTGCAATTTTACTTTCTAATTCAACGCTTTTTTCAAGATCTAACATTTTTGGACTTTTGGCTTGCTTTTAGTTTCATGCTTCTTCTGTTCGGTATCCAGTATATATGTAAATGATGAGCTTAGATAATGGTAAATCAAGCCCCAAAAAAAGTACTGTTCGGTCCATCAGTAGTTCCTCATTTAAGCGCAAAAACCATCAATCGACATTTTTCTTTGAACTACTCTTGATTAATCCCACTAAAATGTTCATAAAAAATCTTATAAACTAGAATAGTTGACAAATTAAAAACCTACATAGATCTCTTCCAAATAAATATTAAACAACAAAAAATTTAATTTGTTGAACTTTTCTAAGATTACCTAGTAATCCTATTTATATGAAATTTTAGAAATATCTATGCATTAATTTTTTTATTTTTAAAACAATTTTTATTTTTTTTGAAACAGAATAAATTTTTAAAAAAATTATCATACATAATTTTTTATTCTTATAATATTGCACACATTCTAATAAAAATAAATTTATATAATGATAGAAATCATCCATCAACATCACTAAAACTCTCACTCAAACAATATTTAATACTCCTCCTTTCGTTAACATAATAACCATTCAATTAATCTAGGTAAATTAAAGAAGACAAATAAATAATTTAATTATAGCAAATATGACATGATCTCCTTAAAATACTTATGTGATTATATTCAAGTTTATAAGTAAAATAAATTATTTTAAAAAATGATCAATATTATAGATAAAATATATAGAAGTTTTATATTTAAGATCAAGACCAATCTCCTAACTAGCTCATATAATTAAGGCTGAAGAAGTATGAAATATGAAGTTAATTTATAACAAGTTATCTCTAGCCACCATAGCTAATAACAAGTTATTATAATAAAGCAACAATAACAAGCCTTGTCTTACTAAATAGGGTTAGGTACAAGGATCACACAAAACTATTATACTCCATTAACAACCAAATATTTAGATATATTATTAATCAAACAATCCCGTTCAATAATTTCATTAATAATTTTAGTGGGTGTTCTATTCTTTTGGTACATAACAAGTTACTATAATAGAAAAAGAAATCCTGGATGAAAATATAAAAACTCCATCACTAATTTAGACGACAACTTATATCATCATAAATTAATCATCAAATATTGGAGTTTTAAAAAAGGAAGCAATACTGCATGAGCCATCTGTAGTTTCTGATAATGGTGGTGGGTCTCTCTCAAGGGCCTCAGTTTAGGAGAGACAGAGAGGAAGCAAGGCAGGAAG